AGCTCCCATAGGCAGTGCCTTATCCGCTAACGAGCTGAAAGTTCTAGCTTGTCCTTTTTAGGGTCTTGAAAGCTTGACTGGATGTTCTAGCAGGGCACTGTAGCTACTTGTATACACTGGACTGAAGTGTGGTCCTTTTCTATCGGGGAAGGTTGTTCTCTTCAATCTAGAGTACAGCTTTGGGAGGGGAATATTTGGAGTGGTGAGGAAGGGGAACTCGCCTGGTTAGCTTGTCCTTTTTAGGGTCTTGAGCGCTTGACTGGATGTTCTAGCAGGGCACTGTAGCTACTTGTATACACTGGAGAGAAGTGTGGTCCTTTTCTATCAGGGAAGGTTGTTCTCTTCAATCTAGAGCACAGCTTTGGGAGGGGAATATTTGGAGTGGTGAGGAAGGGGAACTCGCCTGGTCAGTCAGACCAGCCTGACCAACCCCAGTGATCAATGGTGTGACAGATATCACAGCCAGATCATCCTCATATCCATATCCCTTTTTGAATAAATCAATGTCCCTCAGTTAGGTGGCTGTTAGGGGGCTCAGATATATTTAACCAGTCTGGTTGACTTTTTTCTTTTTTAAAATTTTCATTTATTATTTTTTTGTGTATGAGTGTATTGCCTGCATGTATGTAAGTACACCCGTGTCATACAATGCCCGTGGAGGTCAGAAGGTGTTGGATCCCCTGGAACTGGAGTTAAGGATAATTGTTAGCCATCATGTGGGTGTTAGGAATTGAACCCAGGTCCTCTGCAAGAGCAGTCAATGCTCTTAACTGCTGAGCCATCTCTCCAGCCCTGACTTTTTTCTTAATTATAATTTTTAATCAGTATCTATTTTTTCTGGTGATACTGTAAGCTCCTTAGGGTCAGCAGGTACTATTTTTTTTTCATTGTAAAAGTTGGTGGGTCTAAGACAGTGACTGGCTTATAGTGGGTGTTCAGAAAGCATTTGTAGAATGAATGAATGGTCTTTACTCTCAAGCAAGCAGCCCACGGATGCCTGGGTATCCTTCGCAACCTACACAGAGCATGGTTAAGGGTGCCCATAAGACAGAGCCTATCTCCAGAGATGCCATCTTTGTTGACTTACAGTGACTGGATATGTGTACAGATAGGTGAGGACAGGTAGGGTGCTCCTGAGCAGGGTAGGACTTACAGGTCAGTGGTGTATTCTGGGAGGTGGCTTGGGATGCGGGCCAGCTTCTGGTTGGAGCAGTCCACAATGGTGCCCTCACAGCGACACTTCTCAGGGCACACGAGGTCCATGAAACACTCACTGCTGAACCTGTTGCGATAATCCTCGGAGCCTAGGTGAGCCAAAGAGGGGGGTGTCAGCATCCCTTGAGCCTCCTGGTACAGGGTCTAACGCTGTGGGTAGCAGGAGTGGGGAGTGAGATGGCTGGATGAGTTGGGCAGTGTTTGCGTGTGTGCATGGGATTAGGAGGGGCCTGGTTGTGTCAAGGTGAGGTGTCAGATGTCACATCACTGCCTTGACAATCTGGTCATCCTGCTGCCATTCTTCCCACCCTAGTCCTGCTGTTTTCCGGGCTGTCTTTGTCATTTGTCACATTCTTTTTTATTATTTTTTTAATTTTATGTATATGAGCATATTGCCTGCATGTAAGTAAGTGTACCCGTGTCATGCAAAGCCCACAGAGGTCAGAAGAGGGTGTCAGGTTCCCTGGAACTGGAATTATGGATGATTGTTAGCTGCCATGTGAGCGCTGGGAGTTGAAGCTGGATCCTCTGTAAGAGCAGTCAGTGGCTAACTGCTGAGCCATCATCTCTCCAGCCCCCCATTCAATTCATCACTTCCTATCCTCCAGGAAACCAGGCTCCAAATCTGAGAGCTCTTATGCTTTTGTACGGCATGGACTGAAGTTGATTAATGTCATGGATGCTCCACTTAGAGAAATACTCTGAGACATGTACATAGAATCCTGTCTACACCTGAAGGGATTCCTGGCTCCATGATGACTACCATAATCAGAGAGGAGAGATTTCATGGGGGCTACTCAAGGCAGGGACTGAGGTATGAGACAGGGTCACATACTCAGTGACCTTGAAGGATTTGAAGGCAGTTTGTGAAGGAGGGAGGCCAGCACTCATTCCGTCCTAAGTGTTCATGGATATCTTGCCTCAATTTTCACAATGAAAGTTGAGCGCTGAGGGAACTGGAACCCACAAATTCTGTTGCTTGGGAATTACAGAGCCCACTGAGAGTCCTTGGTTTTATTGTTTTAAGAGAAGCTAGATAGATATTTGAAAAATATTGGCAATGAATTCAAACTTTTAAACACTGTGAAAACAAGAAAAATGCAGGTGAGGGTCAGACTTGACCTCTGGTTAGAGAGGAAGTTCTCTGTAACTATAATGAAGGGCCAGTTCCCATGAGCTAACAGTTGGTGCTAAGATATATTTTTTCAAAATTTCATTTCTTTCAAGGTCACCAGTAATGGTAACGGGTCTGACAGTCTGATGTCTCTGAGAGATGCCCTGGGGGAGTGGCTAGGCAGACCTCTGTGAGCCCATGAATTATGCTGGTGGCAGTAGGGAGCTGTGGCTCTCCTGACATGAGCTCACAGATGGAACTGCGGCTTCTTCATGCTCTCACCCCCACATTTCCTTAGCACATTGCTAGGCATGAAATGTGAGCTCAATCCATTCTTGTCCATAGCACATCCATTGGCTCCAGAGTGTCCTGTGTGTATTTCTGAAGTGTTTCTGGTAACATGGTATGTTCAGTGAATGACTTGAGACATCAGCGTGGCAACCTGGGGTATGAAGAGTCCCTAGGTTTTAGCAGCAGAGGGCCTGGGTTTGGTCAGGCTTTGTAGCTTCCTAGTTCCTATTTGCCAGGGGTTTGTGTGACGATAAGAGTCAAATCAAGGAGGCAGAGTCTCCTGGAAAGAGGCAAGCATGTATGAATGCTTGTGCTTCTATGCCTGAATTTCCCTGATCTTGTGGCTGATGCTCTGGCGTCAGGCCATGGAAACCCCAGTGGAACTGATGGCAATAGCTAACATTTATTGAACTTGTACTCGCAGCCAGGTGCCAGTCTCCAAACTGCAAATGGGTGATTTCTCAGTCCCTGAGTTTATAATTTCATTTTACAGATGAGGAAGGTGAGGTCTATAGGGCTCGCTATGCTTGGCAAAGGGATGAGGGAAGGCTGCTGCGGGCCCATGGGACTGGTGCTATGCTTTAGTGTACTTTGTGATGGAACCTTTCTCCCCATGCCCCAGCAACAGCTATCAAGTCCATTGTGGTGGAGGTAGACGAGTGAGTTTCTTCTCCAATGAGCTATGATGAGGCAGAGCGATGCCGGCCTCTTTCCCTCTCTCCCTCCCTTCCCTCCTTCTTGATTTCCATGCCCTCGTATGTCTTCCTGTGGGCACTGCTGATCAGGAATGAACTTGACGCATGTTTCATTCTGAAGTGACACTATCTAGCTCAGACAGGGCACCAGCAGCGTGGATGCACCTCCCTTTCCTCTCTACGCCCTCCCCATCCTCTTCCTTCATCTCCCCTTGCACCCCTAGACTTGTATAAACAGAACCCACGCATATACTCCCAGTTTTGCAGGTGGCTTCCTGGTCCAACATATTATGCAAATCTCTTGCCCTTGACTGCTAGCACCAACCCCACTAAATAACTATGATCTATACCATTTTTCCTCAGTCTTATCAGAGTGTTAGGTTATTTTGCAACACCTGCCAGGTGAAAACTCGATCCTGTTTTGTGTTGGTAGAGCCATATGGTGATGGTGTGAAGGGGACATTTTGCATGTGTATAGGTGTCTTCCCTTCAAACCATGTCTGTAATGGAATCTTTGCAAAGCAGAGAAATCCTGACTGCTGATCAAAGGCAGAGAGGCAGGGGGGAGCCCGGTTTGCACTTCACCACGAGCCAGCAGATGTACACCGGCTGGGGACGGCCGCCTATTAAATGCATTTTCGTTTTAATCAAGGTGAGAGCAGTCTGTAGTTAGCAGGAATCGCTCTCAGTAGTACTGTTAGATTATAACTGGCAGACCTCTGCAGTGGAGCCGCTGACCCATTTTAATGAAATGATTTTGCAATTAGATTCGATGGACTAATGTGTTCTTTCCAGCATTTTTTTCCCCTGCTGTTTTTGTTATTGCCCTGGTTTGCAATAACGAGGGGGTCGGAAAGTGATATTTTATATGAGTGGGAACCAGAAATGTTAATGACGGCGTATGTACATAACCGAAAAAGTTCATTCCCCAGTCAGAGCCAGCCTGAAATGCCACCTCCGTCACTTCATATTTCATTACGAAAGCTACCCAGGGTTCCTTGGAGCCATTTGTTATGCCTAATGCTCATAACTACCCAAAAGTATTTTTAACTTTTCCAGAGCTTTAAAAGTCAATTTCAATTTCAATGCATATTTGTCACTGCCAGAGATACTTAGGAGAAGAGAACCACTGAAATAGGGTGTTGCACCTCCTCTTTGGGACAAACTCAGACAGGAGGGATCTTGGAGGGTTTTAAGACGGGCCATAAAACTCAACGCCAGCCAGAGTGGGTCTCAGAGCAGCAGATGTCACCTGGTTTTTGCCTGCCTCTGCCCCTGCAGCCCTCCTCCCCTCGTTTAGGCAGCTCAGAACAACGACACTTGGTACATAGTCACAGACAAGCTTTAATAGATGGAGGTAAGGTAAAAAGTGAAAATCCACAGCAATAAGATTTTTTTTTTTTTAATATACCCCTGTCCTATAGCTACTTCTGGGAGGGAAGTGTGTAACATCTAAAAGGTCAGGGGCTGGGAACAGCAGGGAGTCCCCATTTCCAGTCTTCAGATGGACTTTGGTTAAGCTAGAATCAGAAGCTAGTCAGGGACCCAGGGTGGAGTTGGGTGGCAGCCGTTGGCAGGCTGCATTTTGTGTCATCCCTTGGGCAGCTAGTGTGTGGACTGGAAGTCATAAGTTCATTACTATCTGGTCTGCAGGGACAACCAACACATGTATACAGAGTTCTCCTCTACCCTCAATATCCTTAAGATGGATGGAATGAGAGAAAGAACCACAGAAAGATGTGTTCTGGGAATATGAAGGCCTGTCAAGGTTTATCAGCTGGAAAAGAAAGTGACACAGCCAAACCAAGGGACAAATCAATCAAGGGCACTGCAGACATACAGACATCCACTCCTGGGTAAGGCTGAGGAATGAGACACCAGAGACTAGGACACACCAGCAAGAGTTCAGTTGGGCACACAATTGTCTCAGTAGCTATATCTACAGGACTCTACAATGAGTACAGCCACCTCTCTGACAGCAGAGGGAGAGGTCCATGGTACAGCCCAGCCGTGAGCCTGCTGTGGCAGCACCATGAAGGTGCAGATGGAAGGGTGCCATCATTATTTCATAACCAAGGCCTGGCCCTGGCATGACATGGGCCAGAAGTAAGGAGGGGAAGCCTGGAGGGTTTGCTTGCACTCATGAGATCTTGGTACACTCCTACCAGAGAGAAGAGTCGTTTGAACAATGGTTTTTCTCTCTTTCTTTCTCAGGTTATTTCTAATAAAGAGGGTGAATTTGAAAGAGAATGTTTAAAAAAAATTCAACTCCTTATCAATTCAAGTCAAGGATTTCAAAATGATTCCATTTCAAGGCAATGCGAATGGGAAAACTGGGAAGGTTGAGAAGAACTAAGTAAGGCACCTCCAGTAAAGAGCCAGACGACCCTGGGCAAATTAGTATCTCAGTCTCAATATCCTTATCTGTAAAGTGGGATTTAGCACATTGTGAAAATTCAACAGTGTGATGGACTAAGTCATTCAGTACCCAACCAATAGTAAGCACTCTGCGTATTCAAAAGATCAGAGTCCAAGGGGACAGCCATTCCTCATCAGGGGATGGGGCCCTGCTGAGGGGTGACCTGACAGAGGGAACAGTGAGAGCCACACAGCTTCATGGGGATGCATCATCCAGCTTCTGGTTCTAAACCTGGGTGTGTTCCCACCTTAGCTCTCACTCACCCGATGAGCTAAAGACCCTAGCACAAGAACCAACAACCTAGTCTTCTGATTACACTGGGCCCAGGATCTATCAAGAAATAACAAGAGATAAGGCACCAAGATCCCTTTCTCTATGGTCAGAGACTGCCAGTTTCGGGACAGACCTCTCCTGGCCACTGAAAGGGCACTGGGTAAGAAGCCTAGCACCTCTGTGTTGACTGTGTTCCAAGGTCAAGGAAACAGATGGGATGTCAGTTCTCATGGGGATCTGGGCCAAAATGTTCATGAAGAGTGAGAGTCAAATTCACAAGGAGTTTCAGGTCAAGTT